AGAAAATTTTTGACGAAGATGTACACTAATCCGGGGAAAATAGAAATTCGGGGCAGAGCACCATGTGCACTAATCCGGGAAAAATATAAATTCGGATCAAAGCACCATGTGCACTAATCCGGGGTAGAGTGGAAAAATGAGACCCCAAGGATTCGTGGCTTCGAATCTAACAAATTTTTGGGAATAGTCTCGATGATCGATTCGTTACAGGATCCGAATGGACCGCGAAGAATCGACGATCGAACCGACGTAGGTCGGTGCTGGGTCGCAGAAACGGTTGCATAGGTGCGCGTACGAGCGAGAAACTGGACGCTGACAGCTGAAAACTGGTTTCCAGGAGGCGGAGAGGAACAGCGAACGAGCAAGAGAGAGAGAGAAATGGTACGGTAGTGCGCTGCGGCGTCGTTCGTCGAGAGTTCGCGGACGCCGGACCAGGAAACAAAGGAGCGAACCGTACGAACTTTGAAATCGACTCTGTAGATAACGAGAGCGTGTAATATTTGTTCCTGCACGAGTTTATATAGAGCCCACGAAAAACTGAATTCTCCGAGTTTGTGTACACGTTGAAGGTGATAAGATAGAAGGGAGTGTCTCAAGTATGTACACAGGCGTGCACGTGTTTTGGAGCACTCTGTAGCCAGAGAAATTTCTGTCAATCTGCTAGCCACCATATTTCATACCGTTTATCATTGTGAATAGTAAATGTGTATGGAAATTCGATACTTTGCATAAACGATAAAATATTTTTCTTCGACGATTATGTGGCTTGACTGATTGAGGTTCTTGGGCGAATAATATCCTGTTTCCTATTATATTACAGCTATCTATACAGGGCGTTTCATTGGACGTGAACTTATATACAATATTTAAGGGAATTGTTTTTCACATTGATATGTGGTATATTTGACTTTTCTTACGTAATATGAAAACATGTGACGGTACTGGAGTAAGTATACAGGTACTTTCATTTTCTCTGACCAGTCCCAATAGCTGCATCCTTCCATACAGTTCTTGTGGTAGTCGAAACAGATGAAGCACCCTGTACATATTGATGGAAATAGAAGCAGGAAGAAGTATATATTATCATCCCGTAATACAGGGTGTTCCATTTAACTCGACCACAAATTCTTCACATAATACACAGTCTGATTCATTTCACCTAGCCCTCATAAAAATACACAAGAAGGATTCCTTATAACTACGTAGTTCCGTAATAACTACTAATTCTAACATACAGGTCTTTTCATTTATCCATACTTAACTATTCACCCACCCCACGTATCAACACAACTGAACCAGCCTCCTGTACATACTCGAAAAAACGTAAACAGTAAACACCGTACGCACAAGATGCACTACAGGGTGTCCCATTTAAATCGGTCACTCACAAATACTCCCACAATATATACAGGACTACTCATAAACAATTTTGTACGTTATATTATAGAACTAAATTTTCCTATACACTCCGTTTCATTTTTGATAAAAACATCAAACATCCCCTCAACCTTGTACATCATCCGCAAGACGAGCGTCATTAATCCGAGGACGCTCGTCGTACACGCAGCCATTGCGATATCCTCATCGAACTATTTCATAGCATACTAAATATTCTCCCGTTCATCCGCCAATAGGAATCGAGAAGGAAACTCGTCGAAAAATCGTAAAAAAAAATATATATATAAGAGAATCCGTTCACTCACCATGATCTCGGACACAAGCTGAAGGAGTTGGGGACCCTCCGAGGACCTTTGGAGCCACACGTACTATCCGAGTGCACACACGTTGAGCACACACGTTCCCGGCACCAGTCGAGAATCACGGGACGCGGAGACGGACCGGTGTGTCGAGGCGCGGCAAAACGGGCCGGACCTGCGAGTGCGAGTCGAACGAACGTCAGGCCGACGACGGCGATGCAACAAGTGACGGACGAGACAGCCTCCGAGCACGGCTCCGATAGTTCCCGCACGAAGCGCGCCGACTTAAATGGCGCTGTTGTGCGATGAAGAACGTAGACTGTTTTTCGGGACTTTTGAGGGACATTGCCGAGGGGGCGCTTCGTCGCTACACTATATATTATTTTATTTTTATATTACTGTATTAATACTAAAAAAAGGTAGTAACATTTTTACTAAACCCGAAATATGGGTTTTCTTTTGGAAAATATTATCGAAGTTAGGAGGGATAAATGTTTTCATACGAAATTGTTAAATTCTAAAATTATGAAATAAAAATTAAAGTACGTTGCGTGTAATTTCTCAGAGAGAGGGATTCTAAGTTAAAGTATATCAAACAAGGTTTATACTAATGTAAATCATAATTGTTAACTTTGAGTTTAACGTTCTTACTTGAATACTTCAAAAACAAATACATACACGAAAAATATTTTAGATCCGTTCAAAAACATCGTCTCGTTTTGCGATTAAAAATTCTTATTTTCCTTTAAGATCGATACCGATAGTAGAATTTTCAGTCTCGTTTTATCGGGTGATCGACTCGATTGTTGCTTAACCTTCGTTCGTACGGTAAAAAAGCAGTGCGCAAAATTGTCTAGAGCAGTCCTGTTTATCGCCGAGAGGTGACAGCACGAGTTTCGCCGACGGTTCAGCTCTCACCTCGTGGTCCATCGATCGATCTTCACCAGATCCCTATTCCCATGGCTGGGTCACCGGCGACCCGTCGACAAACACAGTTAGCGTTCATTTAAGAGCAAATAGGAACTATAATAACTAGTTAAAAATCCTACGAAATACTGAATGCCAACAAAATTTAAAAAATTTCATTAATAAGAACGGAAAATAATTTGCATTCAAAAGCACTCTAAATTGTTGTCAATGATATCGATCACGTGAACGATTTATAGGAATATCGAAGTTTCGTTGATCGAGGAATCGAACGGAATTCGAATTATGAATTACCGCGCCAGACAATCGCGAACATGTCGATCTTCGATCGAGATCCAACCAATTGTCTTGTACAAAAACGCTGGAAGGTGAACAACGACGTCAGAAACGCGGCGCCGCGTAATCCTACTTGCCGCAATACACCTCTTGACATTTACACACGGAAGATCCTGAATGTCTCTCCCGATGGGGGACGACGACGCGACGTCGCCGCCGCGCACGCGAGTCGAAAGCTCGACCCGTCTGGAATTGATTTTATCTGCGAACAATGCGATCCGCCGCTCGGAGTTTTAACGTAACGCCGACGTTTACCGTCGGTGATAAATATGAAATACGAAAATATCACCGAAATCGTGCCCGTCATGATCCACAGGCGCAGAATAGACATAGATCTTCGAAGGAGGAGAACACAATTTCCTTCGTGAGCGACTGCCAGGCGGTAAAGATCGTCCGACCCAATAAAGGATATTTCTGTTTTAGATCAATAGAGATCATCATAGATCCTTATAGATCCTTATAGATCCTTATAGATCCTTATAGATCCTTATAGATCCTTATAGATCCTTATAGATCCTTATAGATTCTTATAGATCCTTATAAATCAAAATGAATCAGTAAGATCAGCATAGATTAATATGGACAATATTGATTGTTTTAGACATAGATCAATTTAGTGGTCCCAGGACTATCGTTTGGGATACTGACTGTATTATGGACCGTGTTGGGTCCGCTTTAGAAGAGTCAGCGAGGATAGGACTTCGTGGTTTTATTCCTGGCTACGGCTGCGTACCAGCTCCGCGTCGTTTACTTTCACCGGTGACGCTCGGTCTAACTATAAAACACGTCCAAAGCTTTGGTTTCGTTCGTTTCGGTGGATCAGAAGGGACAAAAATTGATCCCATGTACAGTCCTCAAGCTTAACTGCCACCATCCTCTACGGCACCGTCCTTAGAGGATTTCAATGGGTTTTACCAAGGGTCAAGTATGTTGCTAGCAGTATCAAAATACGATAATGTATGCAGAAATTCAGCTGGCTGCCCAACTTCCCCCTACGTACCATCGAAAGACTCTTCGATGAGAGTCTAACATGACACGAGCATTATATGTACTATATGTGTAATAAGTTTTGTAGCTTTAGCTAAATCCTCACTGTCCTCTAAGATAACGTCCGAATAATCATCGTTGTGTTTCATGTGACTTCTAGCAGTGGAACTGCGTAGAGTCGCGAGCACTATCAGAATACGATGACGCAAGTAAGACCTAAAATGGATTCTAACTACCCCCTAAGAGATCATCCAAATGCTCCCCACTATACTTCACGTGCTGACTAGCAATGGTACCAAGTATACCACGAGCACTAACAGAATACGACAACGCAAATAAGACCTAAAAGAGATTCTACCTATCCCCTAAGAGATCGTCCAAATGCTCTCCGCTATACTTCACGTGCTGGCTAGGAATCCTGTACACCAAGGAATCCTGACACCCAACGATATACAATCGAAAAACAAGTTGTTGGTCGTGGGCCCAGGATTGCAAGGAATTCCAGGTATCGGCTGGTTCCCCTGGCACGATTCCACCGGTACGCCGAGAGAGAAGGAGAGGCTGTCGCGAGGGAGGCGCTCGAGGAGAAGATTCGGAATTCCATGGCCGCGTGTAATGGCCAACCACCACCCCGTGGTGGTGTGTATCCACGCCGTCGGGATATATCAAAGTCGCACACGCACGGATAGGTGGTTGGGCCTCCTCAGGCCACGGGTGGTTGTCGGCTCTGTGAGTGAGAGTGCCAATATATATAAGAGGGAAGGGGAAAGTCGGCACGGCACTCCAAAGTACACAGCCTCCGCGGCGATTGCAGTTCGTATGCGCTTGGGCTGCTGCTTTCGGTTTCCCTCTACGTCTGCTCCCCGATATATCCATTCCTCGCGGGTTCGCGGTCGTGCAAACAACCGGCTCGCACACACGGTTCGATCCTTCGAACGCCTTCGTATACCCTCGATTACTGGACACCGTCGAAGCCGTCCGTGGTAACTGTTTGGTCCCCACCGTCCACGCCATCCAAAACCGACCGGCCGCGTGCACGCAGCTGGACGCACCATGAAACTTGCATTGTTCGCGTGAGTACTTCTTGCTTTTTTCTTTTCGTTGGTGGCTGATATTGTTCAAGATAAACTCGGGAGATCACGGGGTCATTGGACATGATATAGATCGCGAGTGTGATCCAAGCGGGGACCGTCTCGTAACCTGGCGAACGTTACGAATGTTTCCCCGGAGATTTAAGTCTCCTTATGTTACGCGTCGAATCGAAAGTGTTACGGTAATTCTATAAATGAGGTCTTATGCCGTGAGTCCACTTGGGAGCCATAAACGAGAGTAGATCTTGTGCTACGAATCCACTTGAGGCTTACAATCGAGGGTAGGTCTTATGCTGCGTGTCCGCTGCGAAACGAGTTTCGAGGGTTATTTTCGCGTGTTATATGTAAGTTCAGAGTGTTGTACTAATTGTATTGATGAGGTCTTATGCTACGACTCCACTTGAGGGGTATGATCGAGGGTAGGTCTTATGCTACGTGTCCACTTGAAAGTAAATTTCGAGATTTTGTGTTATACGTCGACCTGAGAGTGTTACGTTAATTTTATAGGTGAACTCTTATGCCTCGAAGCCACTACAGAGCCATAATCGAAGGTAGACATTATGCTGCGTATCCACTTAAAATCAACCATCAAGAATACTCATCGCTGATAGTATATCCTCGTGTCTATCTTTCATGCCACGGTCTCCACGTGACAGTAGCACTTAAGCCACGTCTACACACGGGCATAAACCTCCTACGCGCGACGGCTCCAAAATAACCGTAACAGTAAAAAAAAAGAGACAAGTAACCGTCTGAAAGTAACTTTCAGATCTACCTGCGCTGGTAAGTCCTGCCACCCGGGAGAGTAACGGCTCTCGACACCTAACGTTACTCTCTCGCGCGGACGCGTTCGGGTGACCAAGGCCAGGCCTCCAAGTACGCGATATCGAAAGGTGTATTTATCTAACGTTACAAGCCCCGGCCGTGTCCGGTATTCGGTGTCTGTCGCAACGGGGGGTGGGGGGTACGGCGGCGCGAACCGTCTATATCGCGACAATTTTCCATCGGCCGCGAACGCGAAGAAACACGGCGAGCTCGCGTGGTTACGAACAAAAAGAAGAAATTGTACGCGTGGACAGACAAAGGATGAAGGGGGCGTCGGGGTCTGGTCGAGTAATAACAGGATGCAAGTGAACGTTATGCAAACCAGCCGCAGTTAGGTCCGTTCCTCCCGGTTCTACGAACCAGGAAATCGATTAGAAAACGAGGCTGCGCCGGGGCGGGAGAGTCGTTGCGATTGAAATAAATCGAGTCCAATGAAAAATATCGATTACGTGCCGCCCCGGCCGTGCCTCTAAGGCTGTCGTTGCGTTTCCTTGGCGTTACTCCTCCGTACGGTCGCGATTCGGTGAAAACGTTTCGGGCCCGATTACGCAATCGCCCTCGGACGGTACCTGACTGTAATGACCAAGTCACGGATTCACCTGGAAAACGTCCAAGCTAACTTTGTAGAAGACGTTAGGGGTATACAGTCACCCATTGGAATCCACTTTTTCATCGAGCACATGTGAAGTAACGGGCATTGAGGCTAATTCACTTCGTCCAGTCTCTTTTCAGGCTTAGAAGTGAGAGCGTAACCCTCGTTAAAAGCTTGTCCACAGTGGCTGAATATCAGCACTTTCTTCGATGACACCAAGACAGGTACGGTAGCTCCCTTTCAACATGATCGACCCTGATGGGGCTCTAACGATATACATTTTGCCTAATGTCTGCGGACATAGGGGACCAAATGGAGGCCTTAGATTCAATATTTTTGCTTGTTTTAATCAATCCCAGATGAAATCGTCCACCATTGCCTTAAGTCTTAGGGGACCAAACAGAGACTCTAGGACTGAGCCAGATTCAGCTAGTCCACCTGTTCCGACAAATCTCCGCTGAAATCATTCACTTGTTCGCTAATAAACGAAACATAGCTCCAGTCTCTTTGACTCGATGGAAAAACAACGGGCGAAAATCGCACCCGTGAAACCACGAAAACGAGCAACCGTGACGTCCTGACACAATCGCAGTCGCGGTCGGAGAGCGCGGGTTGCGTCAGTTCAGGGGGTGCAACAAAGGCCGCGAAAGGCAACAAAGAGACCGGGTGGCTGGCTGGCCCGACCGTGGCTGATCGGGGGAAAACGGGTGGCTTTCGAAACGCCGACTGCAGCCGAGAAACACGGAATCGGCGCGCGAAAGAACAAAAGGAAAATGAATAAAACAAAAGAGGCTCGTAGAACTCGAGTTCGAGGAATTCATGGTTTTTCTTTTCGGCTCGTCTTTTTTTTTTTTTCCTCTTTTTTCTCGGTGATATTTGTCAGCCGTGTCACGTATATACGCGTGCATGTGCGTATCACGACGCGGTTCGTCGTAACGGATCGCCGCGCGGCCGGCCAATCCCGATCCGGGAGCCAGCCAGCTTGTTGCACGAGCCAGCCAACAAGCAGAGAAAGTGAGTTTCGTATACGTGAATGTCACAGGTCAAAATCCAGCCGGCTCAGCGTTGGCTGGCGGATCTACACAGGCCGGGGACACAAACGACGACGTGTGTGCACCGTCGGGGATTTTCTGCGCGCGCGCGTACTCGTTCGTTTGCTTGCAAGTCGCCTCGATTACACGTACCACTCGCCCACGTATTGGTACCGCTTTGTATTTACACGGGGCGAACGGCTAACGAGCGGTCTGCGATTCCCCTCTTTACCAGGACTCGTCCTCGGATTCTATTTTCGATCCTTTCGAGCGAAAGTTGCACGCGCGCGCGATCGCCCGATGCGACGCCTTTCCGCGACTGTGAGGTGTCCTGTCCCCGATGGGGCTCCTCGATTCTCCTTTTCGGGGGACCAGTGTATTTCTGGGAACTCGGTCATTCGACGAGTGGGTGCAAGCAGCCCTTTTCACCTTCGATTTCGTTTTTTCGACGGGTGATGCTCGAATGAGTTCCAGAACGGATATCGTGGATTCACTGGTATATAGAAGGTGGTATGACGGTTTCTAGTGGTTTCTCGAAAAAATGAATTTAGTGCCTTTGTTCGATGTATGGTAGATCTCTGTATTACACGGTTTCGTATAACACGGTCCTCTATAACACGAATTCGTAGGACAGAGTCGAAACATTGTGGAAATGCTCGTATAACACAGTAAAATAGTTTCATATAACACGGTCAATAAATTTATCTCATATAATTTGTATATCCTTAATGTTCATTTTAGTGTGGAATTAGCTCATCCACCTACGAATCAGTACTGATATTAATGTATGAGGATAAAGATGAGCAAAGATTGTGGGTTTATGCTAATTTACAAGAGAAAGAATGCTTTGTTTGTGAAACTGTACACAGAAGACTTTTAATTTCTGCAAAGAAATGAAAGGTGTCCCGTTTAAAGCAATCAAGGTGACCTTCAAAACTTTATGCGTAAACGATGTAAGAATAGAGTAATTATTCCAACGTATGTCCCCCTTGAAATCATGCAACTTTTACTTTATTCACTCTTCCGTACAACGAGAAGTTGACAAATACTTTCAAGGTATCAACGATATGAATCACCTTGTATATCTTCTTGAAGTCAGAAGTTGTTTTTAATGTCTTCCTACTGCGAAGTTACAAGAGGAAGGTGTTCGTATTTAAAATATTTTCTGATAGTAGGCAACCATAGAAAGAAAAAGGTTGTTTCATTTATCCTGTCCAATTAGACACATTGCATTTACTTCCTCGTAAGATTGTCCTAAGTATGTGAATGTCGACCGACATTATATGGAACAGTATATAACACTTCACATCTATGGAATCGAATAGACGAACACCTTCATTTATGAATCATCCTGTACATTGAGTTTCGTTTGATTGAATGACCTGCATGCAGACAAGTAGTGTACAGCTTTTGCCTGGCCAATTGCCACAGGCTCGTGTGACAGAACAATTATCAAGACAGCTATATTTTGTTCGACAAAATTCACGAGAATATCGAAACGATTAGTAGACCGCAGGTTTCAGAACCCAGTCGAATACGATCGATAAACGGCCCGCGCCGACTTCCTGTTTCGCGGGCGATCGGCGTTAATCGCGGAGGAAAGCGTTTCCTAGGCCGGGGCAGCATTCGTTTGCATGCGCGGCCGCCTTTCACTATCGTTCGAAATCATCGCGTCAGATTAATTATTTACCGCGGGCTCCGTGGAAAATCAAGAATCGAACCGCGCCGTATAATTACTAGAAAACTGTACAATATATTCCCCCGTTTTCGTCTTGATTCTCATGATTTCTCCCCTTTCGAATTCCCTTTACTTTTGCACACACCGTTGCCAATCCTTTGCAAAATCCACGAAAAAACATCTCACGAATACCAATTCTTTAACGATCGGAGCTGGAATCGTCTCGACCGATAACCGGGTCAATCATGACCCGGGACAAAATCTCTCAAAACTCATACATAGATACACTAGATGATACGGGAAGTCTGTTTTTCGTCGGGTCACCAGTGACCCGACCATAGGACAACGCGTCAAAAATTCCTACATTTGTCTTTCATTGAATCGTTTTTTATTCACAGACTGCTGGCGACCGGCTGCCTGATAGCCGTGGCCAGATCAGAAGAGGAATACGACTATGAAGAGGAAGCTGCGGCGCCGGTGACCCCAGTTGCACCTGCCAGACCGACCCCGGGTCGTCTGGGAGGGTTACTGTCTTCGAGAGGGCGAGTCCCAGCCGGTCGAAAAGGACCTGCGACCGTGAGTACAGGAACCGTTTCTCGTAATACCAGGCCAAGTGTACATGTAGCTTAACGTTAGTTCGATACTGGGTCCAACAGACGCAATCGACCACGGCGAAGCCGGTCGAGCAGCCGGTGGAAGTGGAGGAGGAGGGCGAAGAAGAACTGGATGAGAATGCGGAACAACAGGAGGAGGTGCAAACCACTACCACGGAATCGTCAAAGATCGTTCGCGGTGGAATCAGACCCTTCAGGTAATTTTTTTCCAACTTCCTTTAATCGACTTAGACTGTACCTGATAATCTCCAATTGCATCGCAGATCGAATCAGGATCTACTGGCGGCATTGAAGAGAAGGAGGGCTCAGGTGCCCAGCCATCGAGACACGACCAGCCCGTCATCGCCTGGTGAATCGACCACACCGAAAGCCAAGTAACTATCCTGTCCCTAGAGTTAATTTCTCGATATTTGCTAGAGGAAAAGTGTAGACTGAGCTGGTTATGGTGACTCTTATAGTTCTTGCATCTACATGTTCCCTTAGTGCTCACCCCCCAATATTCCCTAAGTGCTCACCCCTTGATATTCCCATAATCCTCACTTCTTTATACCGTTTACTAGAACTAGTCATAAAAGTAGATCGTGTTTATTAGATTATTTTAATAGCGATCATCATAAATATAGTAAATCATCGATGAGAGTTTGAAGGCTTGACAATGGACGCTTGATTGGTTCCACGGGGGACGGCTCCCAGTGATGGGAATGACGTCTGAATACTCAATGCCGACGAGCCCTCGAACACTCATCGATTATATACTGTATACCCTAATCGTAAAAACAGTTGATCCGATGAAGTACTGATCGAACGAAGCTTGACTGAATCTTTATTTTCCAGAGCTAGCACGAGTAATCGCGCGAAGAGCAGCACCCCAACGGATGCGAAGTCGGCGGGACGCAGCAGGTTCGGTGGATCAAGGGGTAAGCAGGTGCAGGAAGAAGTGGAGGAGACCCAACGGGAGGAGGTCCAAGTGAAGGCGAAGCCTTACCGCAGAGGATAGAAAGGCTGTCCTCTCCCACAAAGAAGGATCTTCCCGACTCCTCGATCCAGCTTCCCTTAACCGCGCGGAACAACGAAAAATCGTGGCTGTCCTCGCCTGGCCCAATCGCTAAGCTGCCCAATACCTTCATCCCCACTCCTCGAGCGGGTTTTTTCGCGCGGCGAAGGGTACCATAACGCGTGCGCACGGTGTACAGGGTGTCCCGCGACAAGCGGTGAAACCTATTCTCACGGACGTAGGCAATTTCACGTATGGGAAAAGAATCTGTAATTCTCGCGGGAAAGGTGGAAATTTCCATTGTTGTTAAATCTATCGGGACCTAAAGGTGCTGTTTCACGTGACAGTAAAGCGTGGCTTTTACGGTCATGGCACTAAATGTTATGACAATTTGTCGTCGTAAAAACTAGATGTCACGTTGTCGAAACGAAAATCACGACTTTTACTGTCGCGTGAAGACGTGCCTTAAAAATCGGTTCCGTTGCTGGTCACGGGACACCCTGTGTATAGAGGAAAAGGCTGCCCACTCGCAGAAACGCTCGAGTTACTCACTGTATAAATGTAAATTAATACGAGAATAAAAAAAAGCCTGCGGAAAAGAAATGGAAGAGAAAAAAAAAGAAAGGAAAAGAAAGGAAGGAACAACACGACAACGATCGAACAGAGTCTATGTTTATTCCGTGTCGCGGCCGCCCGCCCCCGATGTCCTCGATCGGGGTAACCTTGACTGGTCTCCAGCGACGATCCGTATCTCGTAAATTACTTTTCTCTATAGGGGTATTTGCATATACAGCGGCACACTGTGGGCCGTATTTCACGCCGGGAGAAATTCCAGCGGGCCTGGAATTCCGAGGGCGTGTGCTCCATCTGCAACTGACGCGCGCGCGCACCACTCATCTTTTAAACATGTTCCAGCGTCCACCACTCCCCTTGACTTTCGGGTCTTTTTCCGAGCCTCCCTACTCGAGATTCGCGGGACCGGATGTTCCGTGGATTACTCGATCCCTTGGGTCCTACAATTATACAGGGTGTTTCAAAGAAACTTGTGAATATCTTCATTGTTCGACGCACCTATGTAGACTAAAATATCGTCGTTGGATTCTACTGGTATTGGTAGCCATTGAAAGGAGTTAACTGTCTTGTACAGGGAGTTTCAAAAAAGGTTGAAGTAATTTTTCAACCGTTAATAAATGCAGGTTCAAATATCCGACGATATTTCGGTAATCGTCTTCGAATTCTCTACTGTCTCCTGAATCGACTGAATCTTGGATTATACAGGGAATTTCAATAAAGGTCGAGATAACTTTTAAATGTTACTAAATATGTATCCAAACGTCTAACAATATTTCGATGATATTCATTGTATCATATTTCTTCCCAAAACAATCGAATCTCGAATTATACAGGGACTTTCAGAACAGGTTGAGGTACTGTATAGCTATGAATAAACATAGAATAGAATATGATACGGTCCGGAGCGTGCTTTGATAATAGTCTCTACATCCTACTGCTTCCCAAAGCGATCGAGTCTCGAATTCTACACGAAGTTTCAAAAAAGGTCTAGGTAATGCCTAAAGAATACAAACTATAACGCAGAGATCTCTGAAGCCTACTGTTTGTCAAGGCAATTGAATCTCGAACTATACAGGGAGTTTCAAGAATGGTTCTCGATGCGACTGAAGGCAAACTATTAACCCTCGAACGACGAAGCCCGAGTCTATTTTGACTCATGTTTCCAGAAAGCGTCCAAGCCATCACTATCGTCTATATTAGGCCCGTCGAAAGGACGAAGTCATTTCCTGCTATTTGTTTAATAATCGTAACCCTAATACACGTCGCAAACAACGGCCGGTGACCGCGAACCGCGAGGAATCCATCCCCCTGCTCTTCCTTTCTCGGTTCCAACGTGTGTTATCAGGAACGTGACGCCCCGGCTCGGATGGTCTTTGCGAGTGAAATGTTCCCCGCGAAGGCCCCAAGGCCGACGAGACACTGGCTCTCCTCTCACTTTCGTACCGCTCGCTTTCCTGCGTGTTTCTACCGGTCCGCCTTTCTCCCTCCATCTTCCTCCGCCACCTCCTCCTCTTCTTCTTCTTCATCTCCACCGGGACCAGGAGACAGCAGCCAGAGGTCGCGATTCCTAGGCTTCTTTTTCTCCTTGTTCTTCCTCTACCTGTTTGCATTTCGCCAAATTCTTTCGCGGACCTGACAGCGATTTTTCGTACGTGTATACCGGGTGTGTCGAAAATCGTGGCGCAGCCGAACAAGATATATCGATATTATTTCGCTGACTCGATTTGAACTTCATTCTTGATGAGTTACTCGTCAAACTTGGAAATAAATGTCGGGGGAAATTTTAAAAAATTCTATAATTGTCACTTATTGGAGATTTAAGGGAACTTTGGTACCCCAAAAATTCCGATCTTTTTGACCCGCTCAGTGCATCCCTTTGGTATGTTAACGATAATAACGATAAGTAACGAACTAGTGGTCACAGTAACACCGTTTGTCTAATGTTTTGATGTAATTTAAGGAAGTTTCTCTCTTTTTCCCCAGATATTGTCGCTAAAGTGGCAAAATAGGCGTCTACTATAGGGGACAAATGCAGTTTATCGGGGTAAACCTTACTCTTCTGAGCCGATTGTACGTTGTAAATAAAGGAATGAATTGTGACTATTATTATCGCTCGAGGTGTTCGAGAGATCGAGCAGACGGAAACGATGGGTCACTCCGTCTGACCGGTGATCCTTGAGCGACGGCATTCCGTCAACGATTTCCCGTTTCTCTCGGCCTCCGTTTCTCTCGTCCTACCGTTTTGTTTCTTTTTCGCTGGCGCGCGGACAGGCGAGTGGAAATTCTGCTGGTTTCAACGGTTTATCCGCGGCGCGCTTCTGCCGTTATTGTGCTAAAGGTTATGCCACGAGTTCCTCGCCGACTCCTGGGACGTTCTGTTGTTTCGTAACGGTTGCACGGCGAACGACGTGCAACGGAGATCAGGCAGAAACAATAGACTCCTCGATATTCTATTCGCGTATCGATCTATGGGGGAAAATATGAGAATAAAAACTGTGGTTGAAAACTCAAAAACGCGTGGAAAAGTAAAAAAGAATTGGAGGAAACCCCGAAAATGTGCTGAAAATTCGAAAATGAGTTAAAAAATCGAAAGTGCACTAAAGTCTCTAAAATGAGTTGCAAAGTCGACAAGATTTTGAGAACTGAAAAATAGACTGAAAACACGAATATTATCTGAAATATTGTAAATATCATGGAAAATCGAGACACTTCCGACTTTCGTACTTGTTCATTCAACAATTTTCTTTGCATTTCCTCGATGGTATAGTATAAAAAATAGTATCTTAATAATGGTTTAAATTAATTGACTATGGTCTTAGTAGAATTACAGACTTTTCACATCTGCAAGTACGAATAGTGACATTTCAAGAAGAAATATTGAATTATTTCTTTAGTAAATTATTTACAAGAAATTATTAAAATATAGTGAAACAGCGAATTATATCTGAAATATTTCCTACAAAATTGAATATTTTAATGTAAATATTTCCAGGAATGGTCAGAACACCTCCATAAGTATCACCCTGTACACTGTAATTTTTTAATCAATAAGATTGATTAGCTTACTAGATTTTTACAAAGGCTCAATATCCTCCTGACCACCGAAACGGTATTTAAAAGTGCAGTTCGTTTACCGATCAACGACCGATGGGCTCGATTAATTAGTCTATTCGTGCGTCGGGTTACGTGGCAATTACAAGATCGTATGTGTACACGTACATACATTGTATCCACGTGAGGCGAGAAGCGCGGCGTGATTCTTAAATGTGCTTGCTGGGTATACACTCGTCGTGATCCATTCCTGACCTTTCGGGTAATGCCGTCCGATGTCGACGGCCGATGCAACCCGTCATCGCGATCCTGCTTTCTATCTGTCTACGTGGAGCCTTCCATCGACACGGATCGTCTTCCCTCGACGTGTAATTTACAATAACAACAAATTTCAAACAAATTCTTCCCCTTGATAAAATACACCCAGTCAGGTTCTTATAATTGTGAACGGAAGTACGGCAGAGCCTCCTGTATCCGAACTAATAGGGACATAATTGTTCGGATAATAGAACAATTACGTTCCTGATTTTAAACTTCAATTATTTAAATGGAGGTCAAGAAAATTTTCAGGTTAAATATTCATGGATCCCATATGCTTTCGAGGCATCTTTTCCTGGAGGACACTGTTCAAATAACAGAACGTTCGGATAGTGGAAAGTTTGGACAATAGAATGTACGGATAGTAGAACATTGGGGTAATAGAACACTTGGATAATGGAACGTTCGTATAGTAGATGGTTTGGATGACAGTAGGTTCGGATATTAGAAAGTTCGGATAGTAGAACATTTGCATGCTGGAATGTTTGGATAGTGGAACTTTCAGATAGTGGAATATTTGTATAGTGGAACGTTCGGATAGTAGAACATTTGGATGCTGGAATGTTTGGATAGTGGAACGTTCGAATAGTAGAATATTTGGATACTGGAATGTTTGGATAGTGGAACGTTCACATATTAGGGTATTCGAATATTGAAGGTTCTACTGTATTAGGGGTTATTTACTTCTCCAGAGATGGACCATATTGTTTCTTACAATTTATAACGGCGACAGCGTCTGGTACAAGAACGTAGGAGTCCAGGATCAACGTCTCGATCGCGAGAGAATGGTTGTCGGTACATACACGCGGTAATAATGTAATGTAAATAATTCAGGTTATCGCGAGCGAACGGCGTCGAAAGCGGCTCCATCGCCGGAAGGAAGTTACGTAAAACGGTCTTGTCGGCGAGCTTGTCTAAATTTTAGAAAGTTCCGAATCGTTCATTTCGCGGGTCGAAAAGCTGCCAGCCTGCCTCTCGTCCCGTTTCTAATCCCATCTGCTCGTCTCCAGCGCGAGAAGACGCGAGAAAACGTCGCGTGTGTCGCAAACGGAAAGCTGTTG